GTGTCATCAGCATACATAGATGTCTTACGCGATATAACAGTTTCCGGAAGGTCGTTAACAAAGAGCAAAAATAGCACTGGTCCCAGCAGTGAACCTTGGGGCACCCCAGAAGTTACAGGTATCGTATCAGATGTTTCTCCAAGTACCGTAACTCGTTGTTGGCGGTCAGTCAGGTAATTTGTCAACCATTGCAAAAATGATCCACTAATTCCCATCCCACGCAATTTGGTTATAAGCAGTCCATGATCAACCTTATCAAAAGCCTTTGACATGTCGAGGTAGATGGTGTCAATTTGTCCACCTTTATCCAGGACAGATCCAATGTAATCTAAAGCTTCGATAAGGTTCGTAACACAGGATTTTCCGATAAGAAATCCATGCTGACATTCATTAACTAGGCCGTAAAGCCAATCTTTCACATTATTTAGGACGCAACGTTCCAGAACCTTTGATGTTATTGGCAACAACGAGATTGGTCGATAATTTTCGGTGTATTCACGCTCTCCCTTTTTTTAAACTGGTACTATATTAGCCAATTTCCACTCGCGGGGTATAGAGCCGGTACTAAGTGATTTATTAAACAAGTGACACAGCGATGGCGTGATTACTTCTGCTGTTTCCCTGAGCAGTCGTGCCGGGATCTCGTCAGAACCAGTTGCCTTAGAAACATCTAAGGATTTGAGTACAGCTTGCACCTCGCTAGCAGTTAACCTAATATCGTTCGGAGCTGTTTGATCCATGTCGCAGATGTTACTGCCGGCGTTTCCGGAATTAATACTGTTGTTCGTACTGTTGTTGATAAACACAGAAGCGAAATAACGATTAAATAAGTTCGATATCGCCTTCGGGCTTTCAGCAAAGGTCCTGGGCACTGTTGAGGATGTGTCATCAGTCTCTTCGGTTCCTGTTGCCATAGAAATACGATGCGGTACACTACGAGACTTGAATTTTAATCTCAGTAGTGACCAGAAACGCTTCGGATTTGTCTTATATTCAGATTCCACTGACCCAAGATACTGGTCGCGACTATCGCGTAACATTTGTTTCACCTGCTTGCGTAACTGTCTATATTTCTCCTTCAGGTAACTAGATGATGATTTCTTAAGTTTTTGTCGAACAGTTTCCTTTTTCTTCATAATATTAAGAATTGGTCCATTGATCCAAGGTAGAGGATTTTTACCTTTTAGCTTTTTAGTGGGGATATAATCCGAAACTGCCGCTAGAAACACATCTTTCCAGTTTCTCCAGTCAGTGTTTATATCCTCAGATCCTAATATCGAGGTTAGATTTACTGCCCTAAGAGCGTTACGCAAGCTGTCAAAGTCTCCTTTATCATAATCATATACAATTCGGTGGATTCTCGTAGATGACTTTACAAAAGCAGAAAACTCGAACAACAAAACACAGTGATCGGTAAAAATACCGCTCTGTGCTGGACATAATGTTTCCAAAAGGTTTACTCTATCTGGTATATTCGTTATTATTAAATCCAGTATATTTCGACCACGGGTACCAAGCCTATTCACCTGTGATAGATAATGATCGTTAAGCGTATCAACAAATGCTTCCTCATTAGTACCCCCAACAGATGATAATGAGTCCCAAGGGATATTTGGGAAGTTCATATCTCCAGATATTATCATATTGTCGTATAAGTCGTTGACAAGGTCTAAAAAATTTTGAAATTTCATAACCCAGTTTATGTCAGCATCTGGGGGTCTATAACAGGAAACCGCCAGCAATTTCTGCTTACAGCCCGTAATTATTTCAGCACACACAATTTCCAAATCTTGTAATTGGTCGACCAGTACATCGTTAGCTGGGATATATTCTCTTGTAGACATAAACGATGCGGATTTCATTGCGACGAGAACTCCGCCACCGGTTCGATTTATACGATCTTTCCTATATACGGTATACCCAGAGTGCAGTATCTCTTCGTTGTTAATATCGTCATTTAACCACGTCTCGTTTATAAAAACAAGGTCGGCCTCCTCAGCATAAACAAGATCTTGCACACGAGACATATTACTGACAAAGGACGATTGAACCGTTTTGTGTATGCTTTTAATACTTCTGGCATTGATAGTAAGGCATTTAATACCGTGTTTCTCAGAGGATGGAAAAGCTTGAGGTCCAGGCTGGCTGATTATGTCGCCACAAAGAAGTAAAAAGCCGGTTATATAACCGCCGTCACCAGTAAATATGCGATATGTACGTCGCTTGAAATGTTTGCCAGTTGACACGTCGTCGCGAGGAAAAGGCGGTTTAAAATATTGCCATTTTAACCTCCAAGCGGATTCTGTGTTTGCCAAAACTTGCACACAGCTTTCTTTAAGGAACGTAGTACGTTTAAAACGAGCGTAGATAAGAATACACCCAAGAATGATCGTTAAGACGATCCTGCTTATATTAGTACCACCGGCCATTGTATTGTATTGTATTGTATTGTATTATATTGTATTGTATTGTATTGTATTGTGAATAGTTGGATAGGGAGAGTTGAACCTAAGGCAAGATACAGCTACCTGGGGTGGGACGTGCGTGAGCCGGAAAGGAGATACCCATACTTTAATGCTAATAAGACAGTAGGAGGGATAATGTAATATTCAAACACATTGAATATTCATCATCCCTCGTGATGACGTCATTAGTATTATAAAATACTAAACTAATTATGCAAGGGTGTCAGTTGGCAACAGGACGCTCGCAAGTGAGAAATTGTCCGACCCTCCCACCCATGGCTCTCCTGCTGGCTTGTTGGCACCAACGCTACTCTTCTGTCGTTAGTTCGACAGGTCGGAGATACCAATACCTTAATTGCTAATAAGACAGCAGGAGGGATGATAAATTTTTGTTTCTCGTGTTATACACTCATGTGAAGATATATGTTTGTGATGTTGTCTGCGAGTTATCTAAATTGTTACATTTATCTTCTTTTTTTTCTTGGAGAAGTATTCTCTGAGAATCGATTTTGATGAACGTACATAAGTTGTTATAAAATTCAGCAACAACGAACTTGAGTCGTTTAACAGCAAGCTTGCCTTTTGAAAAAAAGATAGAATACACTTTTTTGGTAATCTGCAAATACCTTCTAAATTACTCAATAACAGAAACCAGTTATGATATAACCATATAAAATTTCTTTGCAGGCGATTCTTACGAGTTACAGTTGTTGAACAGAAAATCGGCTGAGGAACCCCGGGCACGTTTTGGTCAATCTTGGCTGTACAGAACGCTTATCAGTATAAAGTATAAGTCATAATATTTTGTTAATGTTATAATTAATCGATATTTTATTTACAAAAACAAAATTTATCTACAAGTACTTAATTTAATTAAGCATAATTTTTTTGCAACTAAAGGTGAATATAGTATCGTATATAGTTCAGTAATGTAACGAAATTTCACAAAAATACCTCTCAAATAGCCAGTTCTTTTTATTTTATTATTCAGTAGGCAAGTAGTTGATTATTGTTTCAAAGAATCTGTTTTCACCACTTCTCTAATTTGTCGTCATTCAAAGTTATTCACGTTATTCTAACATGAAGTATAGGATTTAAGATTTAATCATTAATTTCCAAAATATTGTTTATTCTCACGACAAAGTTCAATGTTTTTACCGGAAAAGTTCAATGTTTGTGACGTTCATTTCATGGTTTCAATTCGCTCAGCCAATTAGCTTGAAGCTGGTGAACGTGATTGGCTGATGAGATTAAAACCTGTCAAGTGCTCTTGATAAACATTGAACTTTCTCGGTAAAAACATTGAACTTTGTATGTATGTGTGTGTGTGTGTGTGTGTGTGTGTGTGTGTGTGTGTGTG